GATTTATATTATAAATGATAAATTTCTCTTCTCTTCTCCAAGACAAAGAAACACAAACTTTGTTAATTCAAACCTGTCAAAATTTAAGTACCAAATACCTCAGTATTAATTTGTTGACTTTAAATGTAATTTATATGACACTGATTTASTTACAATAACTAGAAGATTAAAACAGTCAGGATAAAATCTTTAGAAATAAGGTCAAAGGAACAAATATGTCAATAAACTGGATATGAATTAAAAATACAATATTTTATTAAAACTGTTCAAATTAAAAAGAAAGAGGGAACATATTAAACAGGAGAACAGAATAACACCATTTATGGAGCACAACGACTTAAAGAAATGTTTCTCTTCTGTTGATTGTAAAACGATGGGATTATAAACTGAAMGAGAAAAGAAAGTGGAGGAAAAGGTTTCGGCGTCCTCCTGTGTCACCGCAGAGAGGCCCTCCTCCTCTCACAGATCCTCCTCAGCTGACTGGAGCACCTGGAGGAGAACCAGCTCCTCCTGTAGTCGTCTCCTGGGGTGAGTCGAGCGCACAGCCCCTCCCGTGTCATCTGCCTCCTGTTCCCAAAACCTGCAGAGAAAAGAACAACAATAAAACAAGTCCCAATATAATTTAATCTGTCACCATGGCTATATTATGTAATTAAAGCAGGCTCCCATTGGTTTATAATCCCACAAATGGCTGCATTTACTATAGATGGTCAAAGTCAACATAAGTTTCATTTTACTTGGTCAACTCTCATTTCATTTGAATAAGTGACCAAATAATAAAAATGGTAAATTTAGTATATATAAAATTTAAAAACATTTATACTTTAATTGTTTTTATCTCCAGTTTTCACATAGAAATATAAACTTATTAAGAGCGTAAAGCCCCAAGCTGTTGACCTGACAGGTCAACATGTGATCAAACCGTCATAGAGATCAGTGACTTCTGGCTCGTTGCCCTGCTCGACCCCGATGAACCCTTCTCATGTCTCCTTCTCCTCTTCAGTCATGTCACCACGCTCACCGGGGTCCTTCCTCCATTCTGGCGCCGTTGCTCCACCGCCAGGCCCCGTCTGCGCTGCTGCTCCTCAGGCCGAGCCGGTACGAGTCGCCCTGGCTCAGACTCTGAGCCGTTTTATACAGAAACACCTGAGGGACRTGTGGGAAAGTGTTTAATTACTCCATTTATCCTGCAGTTTTGTGTTTGTTGATCCAGGACTGAACCATGAACGACCTCAAACAGCTCTGCTCCTTCAGACATTGTGAATCTATTTTAAAGTGTTCTCACGTATCTCTTGTATATATTTGGCAACATGTGGCTCCTTATGGAGAGCCCTGTTATTCAAAATAAAT